TATATAACTGTTGTGACATGTTTTGAGTAGACATGAGTTCAGGCATCCTACCAACTCACCTCTATCCAAACATCCACTTTAAGCTATCTTGTGCAGGGTGTGGGCAACTGTGGCCCTCCAGCTACAAGTCACATGAGGCATTGCAAAACTGACAGTTACAAGCATGACTGCCAAAGGCAGAGGCATGATGGGACTTGTATTTCACCAACAGCTGGAGGACCACAGTTGCCCACCCCTGTTGTAGTCCAATTATTCCCCTCACTGAAGCCCATGTAAACAAAGTGGCGGGATACTGTTGACGCCATTGCCTTTATGACCCGACCAGCAGCTGATTGGACTAGAGAATAGCACAAAGGATAAGTTCGGAGCTCATGTGTTCTGAATATATTTTTAATAATATATTCACAAATATATTTTTGAAATGTATTGAATATGGCCAAAATTTTAATATTTGAAATATATGTCAATATATTTGGGAAGAATATATTAAGAATGTATTTTTAAAATACATTTAAAATATATTTTTCTTCCATGTGGGATCTGTTTTCTGTGAATGCCGATTAATAGGATTTTGTATGTAGATGAGCTTTGAGATGAGGTTGCTCTGCTACACTCTAAAGCAGCATGTTGAACAAAAAAAAAAAAGTATCGATTCCATTTTTTTGAGACAGATAAAGCTTTATTTTGGTGGTATTTATTCACCACTGGGATTTTTATTTTTTTTGCTATGTAAATTAATAAAAAGTCCAAAATTTTTGTAAAAAAGTGTTTTTCTTATAAAATTTTGCAAATAAATAATATTTCATCATAAATCTTGGCCAAAATTTATTTCGTTATATTTTTAGAAAAAAAAAAATAACCCAAATTAGTTTATAACCAAAAATTATAGTTTAAAATTTTTTTTTTTAAATTGTTTACAGATTTTTTTTTTTATATTATTATTTATTTATTATTTTTTTTACATACTGTCACCCTAGCAGTACAGTATCACCATGGTGACACTGTACTACTTGTGGGGGGTGATGAAGATTGTTTTTTTTTTTTTTTACTGATTGCTTTTACACCCATAAAGGCTGTAAAAGCAATCATTTCTCCTTCTCTCTAGCTGCATTCTTGCAGCCATTGAGAACTACTGAGTGAGCTGTGATTGGTCACAGCTTGTCACATGGTACAGGAAGACAAAAAGGCTGTTTTTGAATAGCCCTGTACCATGTGACCTCTGTGATCATTCCAGATTTCACATGTAGTAAGCAATGATGTCAGAAGTGACATCTTACTTACTACTCTGCATGTGATCACTGATTGGCTAATCAGTAATCACATGATTGGGACCTCGCACAGAGGTCACGTCCGACGATCTGTGTTCCACTGTGCCTGGAGGACACAGCAGGCACCGGATCGCGGTGCTGCAAGCTCCCAGGGAGTGCGCACAAGCAGGGGGCCAGGAAAGCCTTTATATACGGCCACCCAACCCTGCACTGCCCCCGTCCGGCCATTTATATGCAACGGCCGGACGGGAGGTGGTTAAAGATGGCTGCTGCACTTCTGCTTTAATGAATATTCAGTTTTGCCCTGTCCACAGTGCAGAAGGATAATACAGCAACAACCAAGGAAGAAGTTCCTCAGCAGTTATCAGCTACAGTCCAGATTACATATGCACTAAATCTGACATCACTAGAGGACTCTGCAGTGATGTAAGGAGTGAAGAATGGAATCAGTGCATGTGGTGGGGGGACACAGGCATCAGACTTTCCTGGAAATGCTGTTTTTTTTCCACCAGCAGGTGGTTCTGCAGGCTAAATGCCAGTTGTATTTTTTTATTAGAGTCCCTTACAAGGGATAATGTGTCAGATAGCCTAATAGCACCCAGTCTACTTTGAAGAAAACAGGCACCAGGTCGTGGCCCCCAGGACTGCCCCACCGAGGAGTGAGCTGGACCAAAGAGGTACATTGCAGAGATGATTAAAATAGGCAAGAAAGTGGTCAGGTCCATTCCGGGGACAAAGCAGACAGCAGACCTGCAGGGTGAGCAATCTGGGTTGGCCATGGGCAGGGAACAGCAGATCATTCTTATATAAAACAATATTATATACAACATATTGATCAGTCCAGCACTCCTCACCATTACAATATTGGAAAATAAACCGCTGATGTGGGGTTCTAGTGCCCACCATCAGTAATAAAACAACAATATCCAGTAAAAAATAATTTTCAACAGTTTTTATTTCATACAAAATAATGAATATTAAAATGGCTACAAACTACAATATATACAACATCTATACATAAATGTGCGTGCCTCTACTTCTGTATACCAACTCCCACATTTTACTGGAGGTTTTATAAAATACTGTAATATAGCATAACCATCAAATATTTTAAAAATATTCTTCCCAAATATATTGACATATATTTGAAATGTTACAATTTTGGCCATACTCAATATATTTTAAAATATATCTCAACAAATATGTATATATATATATATATATATATATATATATATATATATGTAAAGCGCTGAGCAAACTATTGGTGTTATACAAATCCTGTATAATAATAATAATAATATGTATATATATATATATATATATATATATATATATATAGTATATACTGTATATTGAAATGCGTTGTTATTACAAATTATATGAAAATTTTTAAAATACATTTCAAATATACTGCATGTCTTTAAAAATACATGTTAAACTGACTTTTTTTAATGTTAAAAAAAAAAATCTGAAGAATATATTTTAAAAAAATATATTCTTCAGATTTGTTTTAACATATAAAAAAAGTCATTTTAACATATATTTGAAAATGCATTCCAAAAATGTAGATTTGTATTTTTAAAGACATACAGTATATTCGAAATGTAAATGTATTTTTGAAATGCTACAATTTTGGCCATATTCAATATATTTAATTATATATATATATATATATGTGTGTGTGTGTGTGTATACATATATATATATATATATATATATATATATATATATATATACTGTATGCTGAAATGTGTTTTTATTACAAATTATATGAAAAATATTTTTAAAAATACATTTCAAATTTGTCTTTAAAAATACAAATCTACATTTTTGGAATGCATTTACAAATACATGTAAAAATATATGTTAAACTGACTTTTTTATGTTAAAAAAATCTGAAGAATATATTAAAAAAAATATGTTTTCAAAATATATTCTTCGGATTTTTTTTAACATATAAAAAAGTCATTTTAACAAATATATGTAAATGCATTCCAAAAATGTAGATTTGTGTTTTTAAAGACATACAGTATATTTGAAATGTATTGTTAAATATTTTTTCATATATTTTGTAATAAAAACGCATTTCAACATGACAGTATGCGTATATATATATATATATATATATATATATATATATATATATATATATATATATTGAGTATGGCCAAAATTGTAGCATTTCAGATATATGTCAAGATATTTGGGAAGAATATTTTTAAAATTCCAAAAATGTAGATGTGTGTTTTTAAAGACATACAGTATATTTGTAAATGTATTTTTAAATATTTTTTCATATATTTTGTAATAAAAACACACATTTCAACATACAGTATATATATATATATATATATATATATATATATATATATATATATATAGTGATATATTGAATATGGCCAAAATTGTAGCATTTCAAATATATGTCAATATATTTGGGAAGAATATTTTTAAAATATATTTCAAATATATTTTTCTTCCATGTGGGTTATGCTATATATTATTAACACATCTCCTCCCCATAAGAAGTCCTGTATGTGGTCCTGCTGGATTACCAGGTGAAAATAGAAAAAAAGGAAATAAAAACTAAATACAAAAGCTAATGCAATCACCGCTATTACAGATAGGCAAACTGCAATATATTACTTTTGGTTTTGGGTTTCATACCGCTTTAATCCCCATGAGGACAAAAATGGGAATATGAGAAAAAACAAAAATGGGAGGCAAGTGCTGGCCGGAAATGGCTCTTAGTTCCATGACACCATCACATTCTGGATGGAATCCACTTTTTATCAATATTTTTATAACAGCCTTTGAAAACAATGAAGAATATGGCATCTAAAAGTTCACGTTTTTGGGTAAAAAAAAATCCAACCATTAGCTTTGCGATAAAAAAAAAACAATGACAGACCACATTAAATACAATACTCAGGAATTTTTTTTTAATATTTTGCTGTGTAGTTGACCATCGCTCAAAACCAAGGACAAACATTTTTAGGAACATATTAGGACCAGGGGTGACTGACCATTAGAGGGCCTGGGGTCAGTAGGGGGCCCCATGAAATGCCCCCCGCTACCTTTTATAGGCTTATTTGGGTGTGCTTTGAGTGTGGGCAAGGACAGAGGGGCCCCATGATCCCCTATTGCCCGGTTGCCCCATGAGTTGTCAGCCCGCCCCTGATTGGGACTGCCCCTGCCCCTTGCTATCAAAAACAGCCACCAACTATACATATAATGTGACTGTGTGGTCCTAACATGAAATTCTGTTAGCCTCTAGATTAGGGGTGTCCAAACTATGGCCCTTCAGCTGTTGAAGTACTACAAGTTCCATCAAGCCTCTGCCTCTGGGTGTCTTGCCTGTGGATGTCAGAGTCTTGCAAGGCCTCATGGGACTTGCAATTCTTCAACAACTGGAGGGCCATAGTTTGTACACCCCTGCTCTAGATGTTCCATCGTTTTTGTACACCGATTGTTTGTGCTGTACCAATGAGACGTATTTGCCCTTTTTGAGTATAATACTTACTTTTTTACAATAAATTCACTATTTAAAGGTTAATGCACTAGGCCGGTGCGCCCGCTGTTTTTTTTGCAGTGTTCCCAGACCTCCTCAGTCCTGTGAGGGCAGCAAGGCAAGTGCACCCCATGAAGGCCAAGTGTTTGACCAGAGCCCATTAATGCTGTTGGACCCAACGCTCTCCAAGCACAGGAAGATTGAAGTGTCCTACTTCTTTATGGAACTCTGATCGCTTTAGCCTCTCTCTCGCAAGGAGCAATGCACATTTTATAGCAACACTTTCCAAAATGCAACTTTTTCAAAACGTCCACCAGCCCCTCCAAAAAGACTTTCTTAAAGGAAGCAGATGAGAAGTAGAATATGAGAGGATCCAACGCCGCATTGAAGGTACTTAGGAGCAGAGAGTAGACTCTCCACTGTGGACTATCGCCCTGGAAAAACCCTACAACATGCGATAAATTATAGGGCATGAAACAAAGGATGAAATTAATGAGGGTGACCACCACTAGGCAGATGGCTCTTATTTTTCTTCTTCTCTCCAGACGAGGCTGAGACAGGACGATCTTGATGAAGTTGACATAACAGAAGACGGTGATCACAAATGGGATGAAGAAGAGAGACAAACTCATTTCTAGCCTCACCGGGAGTAGAATTTCGAGCTGGGGCGGTGAAAATATACTGTAGCACATTGTATTGTTTTGTTCCGTCATATTATTGGGAATAATGTGCTCCACGATGTATACAATACTGCAGTGAACAGATCCAAAAATCCAGATGAAGAGGCTAGCCAGCATAGAGTAGACCGGTTTCTGAAGAACCTTGTATTGGAATGGAAAGGCAACAGCAAGATACCTCTCCACGCTGATGGCCATGAGGAAGAGAGAGGAGATGTAAATGCTGCTGAAGTACATATACAACGACAAAGGACATAAAACATGCGGCATATTCCACTGCATGCCAGACGCGGCTTCCAACATGCGGAAAGGAAGAAACATCAAAAGAAGCAAATCGGAAATGGTCAAGTTGACCAGCAGGATGTCCACTGGTAGGGCACCTTGCCTAAATTTTTTGATGAGCGTGCACAGGGCTGCTATGTTCAGGGGAAGTCCTGTTACAAATGTGAAGATGTAGACGAACAAAAAGAGGGCGCCCGATCCTGGAAAATAGGTCATGATGGTTCACTCGGAACTTAATATTGGGTGGTGTGGAACTTCGCCAAGTTCCTTGTTGATTTGCTTTTGAGCTTGAGGTTTCTTAAGTATGCTAAAAAAAAAGTAAAATAATCAGGTCACAAAGGGCTACAAGAAGTTTTAACCTTTTTGTTGTTAAAATAAAGCAAAGTAGACCTCCGACATTTACCTCTCCTGCTGCCTGCTCCACCAGTCTTTGCAGTTGTGAAATAAAGTCACCCGACGAAGAATCTTTGGAACCACTGTTTGTTGATACATATTGGAATAACGTGAGTCTAATAAACTTGGTCTTTATTATCGTTACTATGTAACCATGTGTATGGCTTATCAACCTATTGCTATACTGCCCGAATAATCAGACTTAGCACACTAACTCCGGGATCAGTGTACATCAAATGTGGATATTACAGTGATAAGACAATATTGAGGTCAGGTTGACTTCACTGTTGGCCATAAACGATCTGTAGGAGGTGATTAATTGACATCTTTATTAATATGCAAATTGAGATACCAAGCAAATTAGTAAATTGAGACAACAGCCTGTCAGGCTTCTTCCTGCCAGGCCTCGGCTTCCTGTCTCCTCCCACTCTTGCGTTGCCTACCCGGGATCCATACTTTTTGCACAGAACATGTTAAACCTCTATAGAACCAACATCCATAGACACAGAGGATCCAGCAGTTCCTGAGGAACCTGTCTTATGTGGTGTCCTCAGTCCACACATCTCCTCCCTACAGTCTCTTGCTGCCCTGTCTGGTCCCACTCTTGCGTTGCCTACCCAGGATCCATACTTTTTGCCCAGAACATGTTAAAACTCTTTAGAACCAACATCTAAAGACACAGAAGATCCATACTTTTTGCCCAGAACATGTTAAAACTCTATAGAACCAACATCTACAGACACAGAAGATCCAGCCATTCCTGAGGAACCTGTCTTATGTGGCATCCTCAGTCCACACGTCTCCTCTCTACAGTCTTTTGCTGCCCTGTCTCCTCCCACTCTTGCGTTGCCTACCCAGGATCCATACTTTTTTCCCAGAACATGTTAAAACTCTATAGAACCAACATCTAAAGACACAGAAGATCCAGCCATTCCTGAGGAACCTGTCTTATGTGGCATCCTCAGTCCACATGTCTCCTCCCTACAGTCTCTTGCTGCCCTTTCTTTCACATTCAAGGGGCTTTTTCGCTCACTAGGGACTTTCAGTGAAGTGACCAATTCTTGTATTTTTTCCATTTTTAATTCTTAACCAAAAAAAAAATATTAATGTTAATATTTCATCTTTTTTCTGTATGTCCTCATTAAGTGAAACAGTCTTCATGGTAGAGCATTATGACCTGAACTTGTATCAGTATCAAGCATTGCACCAGTTACTGGAAGACTGAGTAGTGGGGAACTGACATGTTCGGAGTTGGGGAATCTTGCAGTTTCTGCTCTCCTTTTACCTATCGGTGAGCGACAAAAAGAAACCAAAGACACGGAATCTAGATTGTTTCCTCAGAGGTACCAACCACAATTATTACATCCAAGGAACCCACCATGTACAAAAGAATTAATTCAACGAACTTCATAGAGCTACCGAACATTAAAGCAAAGGAAAAAGTAAGTAAAACAAGATTTATTTGTCTTGTAAAGAAATGTTTTATTTTGTGAATGAATTAATTCTGGGGCACTCAGCAGAGATAGAGAGTAGGACTGTTTTGTTTTTTAAAACCTGTTGTTCCCCATTCATGTGTGTACATATATTCCAAATCTGTCAATATAGAGGTTTTATTTTAACTGCTTGCCTATTGAAGTTTTTTTTAATTTTTCACATACATGATAAAGTCAGCATTTATTTTTTGAAAATTACAGGATCCTCCAGTGGCATCATTTACATGTCCATGTATGGTCAATGATGTCACACCGATCTGGTATCCAAATACCACCCAAAACGTACTCTCTGCTCCTCACAAGACCTCCTACTCTGTTTCTCTGGTCTCCTCCTCCCATGCCCATCTCCAGGACTTCTCCAGGGCTTCCCCCATCCTCTGGAACTCCCTACCCCAATCCATCAGACTATCACCTTCTCTCCTCACCTTTAGGCACACCCTAAAAACCCATCTCTTAGGGAAACCTACCCTGCCCTCAGCTAATTACTGATCTCTTCCTCTCTTCCTGCCACTCCACCCCCACAGCTATTTCCTCCTGTAAGCTCCAAGGAGCAGAGCCCTCGAACCCCTCATGTATTGTATTGTATTGTTACTGTACTGTCTCGCGTACTGTCGAACCCCATTATACTGTACAGCGCTGAGCAAAACTATTGGCGCTATATAAATCCTGTATAATAATAATAATAAGGGGGCTGGTTCTCCCAGTGATGTCACCAGGTGACCCTGCCCCCTCTGAAACCATTGACCATACACAGCATGAACATGTCCTTTGCATGCTCAATGGCATCACCGGGTGACCCCACTCCTTAGTTTATTTCAGCTTTGGGAGGGAGCCAAGCAATGGAGTGGTCGTGTCGGCGGGTGGTGGATTTTCTTTTCATCATGATTGACAATGGATGTGCATCAGGGGGAATTTTTTTAAATAAAAGACTTGTCAAAAGCTATGTGGTGTTTTTGGTTTACACTTGTCATTTGTTTTGGTGAATAAATAGGGGTACTGTGTACCCCATACTCATTCATATAAGGGGAGGCCAGGATCTGGTGGCTTCGTTGTGAAAGGGGGCATCCAGATTCCAATAAGTCACACCCCACAACCATTGAACCAGGGCTGTGGGGAAGAGGACTTCAGCTGTCCACAGCAACATGGGGACAGGGTGTGTCAGGAATGGACTTGCCAATGGTGGTGGGGACTCACCTGCCTTGTGGGCTGCAGTACCAGGGCTGGCCAGTGGGTGCTCTCAGCAACCAGAAGCTCATCCTGCAGTCAGCCATCACCTGAGGCTGATTGCAGGAGGTGTATTTAAGGAATGGCCAGACCTGCAGTCAGTGCCTTGGTGTATGTTTCCCATGAGCCCCTGTACCTGCATCCTGTCTGCTTCCTGCCTGATTCCTGATTCTGCTTGATCCTGACCCTGAATGAACTCTGCCTGTCCTGACCTCGGCTATTTCCTGACCACTCTCCAGCCTGCTCCTTTGGTACCTTTGTCTGCCTGATTGTTCCTGACCCGGCCCATCTGACTACGCTCTGCCTACTCCTTTGTGTCTTGTCTGCCCGATGATTCCTGACCCGGCCCGCCTGACCACTCCACCTCACCAGCCCTGACTGCTCGTATCTGTGTACATTCCGTTATCAGTTGGAGGTTTGGTTTTGTTATATTGTGCGTTATATTTGTGTATAACCCTTAATAAATTATATTGTTACACCATACTTGAGCCTGCATTTCCCTGTGTCAGTTCACGCATCTCTGGTCTTACCGGGAGCTCTGACAGGGTGCTTTGCCCGGGGGTTCCCTTTGAAGCCCCCCATGTTGAGGGTATGTGTCCTGGAATGGTTCAAGGAGGGGTGCTTGCCCATTTTCCCTCCCCTTTTCTGGTATGCCAGGCTGTATGCTTAGATAAGGGACTGGTATGGATTTTGGGGAGCTCACGCCATTTTTTTTTATTTTTGGCAGGAGATCCCCCCCACAATCCAAAGCAGACCCAAAGGGCTTGGTGTGAATTGAGGGGGAAAGTGCACACAGTTTTTTTTTTTTTTTTTTTGCTTTTATTGTTGGCTATTTTGTTTACATTCTGCTGTCAGAAAGCTAAGTCCTGCTGACAGCAGGGATAAGTCATGGGCATTAGGATCAGGAGCGGACTGACCATTTGGAAACTCGGGCACTGCCCGTGGCCCGGGGTCAGTAGGGGGCCCTATGATATGCCCCTGGTACTTTTTTCATAGGATTTTTTGGGTGTGGGCAAGCACACAGGGGCCCAGGGGTGGACTGACCATTTGGAAACTCGGGCACTGCCCGAGGGCCCAGGGTCAGTAGGGGGCCCCATGAGATGCCCCTGGTACCTTTTTCATAGGCTTTTTTGAGTTTGGGCAAGGACACAGGGGCCCAATGTTCCCCTATTGCCCGGGGGCCCCATGAGTTGTCAGTCCACCCCTGGTCTGTCATTACTTTCATCGCCATAAAACTTTTTAGTCTTGGACAAGGCAGGAAAGGGTGAGAAACCCTTCCACGGTTCCTTGAATATGTATCCTTGTTCATGAACTTAAAGATCCTTCTTCAAAGGGGTAGAAGACTGCTGAGGTATTTCATGGGCCATTGGTATAACAAAATAGTTACTTAAAAAAAAAATTAACCCTTCCCTATCCAAAACTAAAAATTTTGGACCATACATATATAATTTAAGCAAATATGGAGGATGT